TAAGGGGGTGGATTAATTAGTGTGGATTAATTAAGGGTGTGTGTATCAATTAAGGGGGGTGGATTAATTAAGGGTGTGTGGATGAATTAGTGTGGATTAATTAAGGGGTATGGATTAATTAAGGGTATGGTTTAATTAAGGAGAGTGGATTAATTAAAGAAAACCTTTAACATTTTTTACAGGTTTTTGGGGTGGGGGTACGTCCCTGTATATAGGGTAAATATATGTAAATATATAGGGTAAATATATGTAAGGAATTTCTTGTGTTTTCTCCTATTTTATTTTATGTACTGTTTTGCAATTTGTTATTTGTATGTCATTTATTTCTGTATTTTGTACTCAGCACTGTGAATCCTTTTTGTCAGATTAAATGTTTACTTAATCAGCTTGTGTCTCTGTTCTCTATGAGCTTCACTCTCCAGAGGAAAGCTCAGGTAAACACGTTACCAAAAAGGGTTAACTATATATGTTTTATCAGTAAAAGTAGAACTGTGATACTATAATTCTCCTGTGTGTGGGGTAACCTAAGACGCCCGGGTTTAAAAGTCTTGGTGGTGGCAGTAGAGTAAAGTGTATTAAGGGGGTTAGTGTAGAAGGGATTACAGGGGTTAATTGAGTGGTTGCTAGGACTAGCAACAGGTAACCAGGGGTCTGGTGTCATTAACCCTGTCACTTCCACACTATCCCCACTGTCTCGGCTGGGCCTTTAGCCCACGCACGTGACATCCAGGTTCTGGAGGGCGTTCAGTAAACAATTGGGGATTGATCTCTCCTTCTCCTCCTCCTACCATCCACAGACCAATGGTACAGCTGAGAGGGCTAACCAGTCATTAGAAGTTTATTTGCGTTGTTTTATTAATAGCACACAAGACAATTGGTCCGAACTACTCCCGTGGGCCGAGTTCGCTAGAAACAATGCTGTTCATGACTCCTCTGGGCACAGTCCATTTTTTGTCAATAATGGTAGGCATCCTACGGTTCTCCCTGCGGTATTTTCTGATACTGCCATTCCTGCTCTGGATGAGCGTCTGGCCTCCATTCGGGATACCTGGGTTAAGGTTCAAACTGCTCTAGGGGCTGCTGCTGAACGCTTCAAACATTTTGCTGATAAGCGTAGGAGTGCCAACCCGGTGTACCAAGTGGGGGACCGGGTTTGGTTGTCATCTCGCAACATCAAGCTTAAGGTCCCTAGCATGAAGTTTGCCCCCAGATTCCTTGGTCCCTATAGAGTGCTTCGTAGGATCAATCCAGTGTCTTACTCTCTGGCTCTTCCTGCATCTTTAGGGATTCCCAACACTTTTCATGTGTCCTTACTCAAACCTCTTGTCTGCAATAGATATACTGTTCCTTGTGTTCCTCCCCCTCCGGTGGTGGTGGGTGGTCAGGAAGAGTATGAGGTATCTTCTATCGTGGATTCTAGGTTTTCTCGGGGCACTTTACAGTACTTGGTTGTTTGGAAAGGTTACGGTCCTGCTGATCGTTCTTGGGTTTCGGCTCCTGACCTGCATGCGGGCCGTAAGATCCGCGCTTTTCACGCTAAATTTCCTCTCAAGCCTGGTCCTGTCCGCCCGGTGGGCGTTCTTCAGGTGGGGGGTAATGTCACGTATTCATCCGCTTATAGAAATGTGGTTAATGACATTTACTGTCCACACAGGAAAAGTTGTGCCGAGCAGCAACCTAATCCACAGAAGGGTTAATGCTGAGCAGCAATTATGCAAATGAAACCTGGTAACTGACTTTGGGGTCAAAGGCCGGTTACAGCCTATCAGAACTAAAGGAGGGGTATTTAGGCCCAGTTCTCAGCCTGCTCAGTGCCCTGTCGTGGTTTCCCTTGTGGTTGTCTGAGAGCGCGTTCCTGTTTATAGTTTTCTACCTGTTTTTTGACTTTGGCTTTGTTTATTGACTTCTCTATATTCTGGTATCCTGACTCCTGGCTTTCCTCATCGCTGTGTCCCTTTCTGTGTTCCCTGACCTCGGCTAGTATTTTTGACTATTCTTTGTACGTTAAATCCGGCCATTCTAAGGACCGGTAATACGTTACTTATTTGTCATTCGTGCTGTACAGTTCTATGTGCTGGATCAAACAGTAATCCTGACAATATGAGACCAAGCCATATCAGTTTTTACCGAACTTTGAATTTTGACGCTGGGCCTATGTGCAATTTACAAGCATCTTCGCAGGTTTTAAATTCAAACTACCCCACAAAGGCCTACCATTTCTTAAAGTAGACACCCCAGGGTATTTCAAAAGGTATATTTTGAACCTTAGCGTGGGATAATTTTTCCGCTAGCTTGTACCAGGTGTAGTGGTAATAAGCGTTTTTTCTGCCTTTTTGACACACAAAGTGAGTTTGCACAGTATATTTTGCAAACCTTATGTGTGCTACCACTGTATAATACTGTAGGGTATTGTCCACATGTGTGTGTGATTTGAGTCTGTGTTAGTCTCCAGTAGCCGCCGACCCCGAAGCAGGCCCGCCGCCGCAGCTCTTTTGGTCATATAGTCCATCCACGGGTACCAGGTCAGCGCACATTTGTCTGCTCGTCCCTGCTGGGAGGCCGTCATCATCTCCATATTGTAGCTGTCTTCCACCCTGGCGATCCATTGCCCCAGGGAGGGTACTGTTGTGCTTTTCCAGTGTGTGGGGATAAGTGTTTTTGCCGCCGTGAGCAGGTGTATGGTGAGCCCTTTTTTGTATGCCTTGTGGTTGAGCAACATCGTCAGGGGTTGCAGTGGGAGTTCGGTGCCGGTGATTTCTTCAATTGTGCGGTTTACCATCTGCCAGTATGGGACTATGAGGGGGCACGTCCACCAGATATGGTATCCTGTACCCATCTAAGTTCCGCATCTCCAGCATTCACCGGGGATCGAGTCATGAACATGCCCGGAGTCCTATACCAGTGCGTCAATATTTTATAGTTGCATTCTTGGTATTTTGAGCTTATAGTCCCTTTGTACGTCAGCTGGAAGACCTTGGTCCAGTCCGCGTCCGTGAGCTCGATCCCCGTTTCTTTCTCCCACCGCTCAGTGAAGCCCAAAGCGCCATTGTCTCCACTATTCATCAGTGCGGAATACATAGTTGATACACCATGTGAGAGATGTTGCCTGGCCGTGCATAGTTGTTCAAGATATAGTAGGGGGCGGTGCACATGGTCCTTTCCCATGATAGCGTTGTAGTAAGTTTTGAGTTGGTGGTAGTGGAATTCGTCTAGTCTGGTTGGTCTGCGGTCTTGTATTAGGTCTATCAGTGGTTTAAGGTTTCGGCCGCTGCACCATTGGTGATGGTAGACCCAATCTGACGCCTGGAAGTTTTTAAGAGTTTAGTCCACCAGCTAATTTTGGGTTGTTGGTTATAGGTGTGAGCGGGTTGGGGAATGTGGTGAGCCGCTTGGCGTACCTTATCCCGCACCAGACCCTGAGGGTGGCGTCTATCATTGGGTTGCCTGTGCATATCTCTCTGAACGTAGCCTCACCCAGCCACAGCAGGGCTGGGATCTTCCCTTGTGCTTGTTGGAGCTCCATGTCCACCCATTGCTTAGTATTTGGGTTGGCGTGCCAGTCAACCAATCGGTGTAGGTGGGTCGCCTGGTAATACATGAGTGCAGATGGAAATCCCATTCCTCCTTTGCTCTTTGGTCACTCCAGAATCGATCTTCGGACCTGTGTGGGCCTTTGGTTCCAAACAAACTGTCTGATGTTGGACGATAGCGTCTGGAAGAAGACTTGGGGGATGGTGGTAGACAGCGTCTGAAATAGGTATAAGATACGTGGCCTAAAATTCATTTTTATAGCGCTTATGCGGCCAAACCAAGATATGTACTTGGACGTCCATCGTTTTAAGTCCTGCTGTAGTGTCGCGAGGAGAGGGGCGAAATTCAATTGGTATACCTGCGTGAGATCTTTCGGCAGCCAGATACCGAGGTATCGAAGCTTAGATTTTGAACGGGAAGTTTGCTTTGATGTGTTGCGTTAGGGCAGCGTCCTGAGCGAGCAGCGTAGCTTCCGATTTCTCTAGGTTAAGTTTCAAGTTAGAAACTTTGTTATACCGTTTAAACGCCTCTAGTAAATTCAGGGCTGAGATTCTGGGTTGTTCTAAGAAGAAAAGCATATCATTAGCATATGCCGCCACACGATGTTGCTCCCTGCCCAGACGGGTCCCCGTGATTCCTCCGTCCCGCCTGACCGCCTCCAAAAAGGGTTAGAGAGTGAGGGCAAACAGGAGGGGCGACAGGGGGCACCCTGGCGGGTGCCGTTATCAATGCTGAACGGTTTAGTCAATGCTCCGTCGACCCATACAGAGCGGCAACCCATGTTCGTATGTGTGATCCGAACCCCATGTGGCTTAGGGTCTCCAAGAGGAAGGTCCAGTCCACCCGGTCGAACGCCTTTTCGGCGCCTGTTGACAGGAGTACAACCAGTTCTTCGATCGTCAGAGGTTGGTCTAGTTCCGCCACCTGCTCCGGGGTGAGTTTTCGGGCCGCATGACTTTCAAGGTATGCCGTGACTCGGTCCTTGTGGTGCTGCGCCTCGGAGCCCTCCCGAGCTTGAGCGTATAGTGCCGCGGAGTATTCCTGGAACGCATCTAGGATGCCCTCCGGTAAATGCGTGACGCCCCCTCCCGGTGCGTGGATCTTGTGGATGTGTTGTGTCCTCCGTTTGTACAGTAGCATCCTTGCCAGCAACCTGCCACTCTTATTGGAGTGTTCATAAAATAATCTGGCTGACTTTCTTGTGGTGTGTAGTTGTCCCTGAGATAGTATGTCTCGAAGTTCCCTGCGGGCCACTGTGAGGTGGAGGTAGGTGCCTTCATCCAGTGTGTGTTTATGTTCGTGTTCTAGTTCTGCTATTCGTTAGGGTGGTCAAGCGTATAGTCCAGTTTTTTTTGAGCCTGGTGCTCGCAGCGATGAGGTGGTCCCGGATGACACATTTATGCGCTTCCCAAAGCATCAATGGAGGCACCTCCATATTCTCATTGTCAGTGAAGTATTGGGTTAGGGTATCAACTACCGTGGTCTTGAGTTCGAGATCGTCGAGAAGGGACTCATTAAGTTTCCACTGTCGTTCTCTAGGTTTAAACAGTGGGGATCTTGTGCGAGCCACCACAGGTGCATGATCGGAGTGTTCCATCAGCTCGATGTCGGTATTATGCAGTAGAGTCAGAAATTCTTGCGCAAGGAATATGTAGTCAATGCGGTTGTAGTGCGAGTGGACCGCCGAGTAATGGGTGTAGTCTCGGTCATCCGGGTGACTAGCCCTCCTGCAGTCCACCAGCCCCAGCCTGCTCAGGGCCCACAGAGTTGTATGTATGCAGTGTGCGGGCACCGCGCTTGTGCCTCTGGAGGTGTCCAGGCGGGGTTCGAGCGGCAGGTTCAGGTCCCCCGCCATCACCAACAGACCCTCCCTGAAGCTCTCCAGCTTGGTTAGGGTTCGGTTTATGAAGATATGTTGTCTTCTGTTGGGACTGTACAGGCATGCAAAGGTATATGTATGATCTGCTATGGTGCCCTTGAGAAAAAGGTAGCGCCCATTAGGATCTGCCAATGTCGCCGTGCATTGGAAAGGTACCGTGTGTGCGAACAATATTGCCACCCCTGCCTTCCTGGCATCCGGGTGGTTTGCGTAATATCCTGCTGGAAAGCGGCGATTCTCTAGTTTGGGTGCTTCGCTGCCTCTGAAGTGCGTCTCCTTCAAGAACACCATTGACACTCTCGCGGCCCACAGCTTTTTGAGCAGGCGTGAGCACTTCTCTGGCACATTGAGACCCTGGATATTGTTCGACCAGTACGTTAGCTGGGCAGGCGTGAAAGCCCCCTTTGGCTGCAGCCGCGGCGGGGAGGTGGCGGTTGAACCAAATTATGTCATACAGCACAGCGTGACTCTTAGCTGTGATTTATCCTCCATACATTCCTTGTTGTTTTTTTTTTTTTGTTTTTTTTTTTACTTTTTATTATTTTCTTAGTCTCTAGTGCAGAAAAGTCATTCACACTTTATGTTGTGTTCAGTAAAGATCAAATTTCGTTTTTTTTTAATTATCTCAATGATTGATCTACTCTGCAGACTTTGTCCTGTCAGGACAACAAAGTGAAAGGACATTAAAAAAAGATATACAAAAAATCTTCCACTATAACACAGTGGATTATAATAAAGTGACTGTGCTTTTAACCCCTTAAGGACTGGACTGTTTTTGCGATGTTGTACATTTGCGACCAGGCATATTTTTACACTTTTGTGGTGTTTGTGTTTGGCTGTAATTTTCCGCTCTCTCATTTACTGTTCCCATACAAATTATATATTGTTTTTTTCAGGACAAAAGGGGCTTTCTTTACATACCATTATTTATATAATCTCATGTATTTTAATTTAAAAAAAATAAAAAATATGATGAAAAATTGAAAAAAATACATGTTTTTTGACTTTTACTTGAAAAATCTTTTACTCATCTACAAAAGCGAATGAAAAAAACTGCTAAATAGATTAAAAATTTTGTCCTGAGTTTAAAAATACCTAGTGTTTACGTGCTTTTTTGCTTTTTTTTGCATGTTATAGGGCTATAGGTACAAGTAGGATATTGCGGTTTCAAAACATACATTTTTAAAATTTATCAATAGTGACATTGTAACACTATTATCTGTCATAAATCTCTGAATAACACCCAACATGTACATATTTTTTTTAAAGTAGACAACCCAGGGTATTCAATATGGGGTATGTCCAGTCTTTTTTAGTAGCCACTTAGTCGAAAACACTGGCCAAAGTAAGCATTCATATTTGTTTGTGTGTGAAAAAAGTAAAAAAACTAAATTGAACGCTAATTTTGGCCAGTGTTTGTGACCAAGTGGTTACTAAAAAAGACTGGACATACCCCATTTGCAATACCTTGGGTTGTCTTCTTTTGCAAATGGTATGCCATCATGGGAGTAATTCTCATTCCTGGGCTACCATATGCTCTCAAAGGCAATGTAACCAACCTGGCCATTTTCAATGTAAAAATATTTGACCCATATATTTGACCTTGTAACTTTCAAAAATGCTATAAAACCTGTACATGGGGGGTACTGTTTTACTCGGGAGACATCGCTGAACACAAATATTAGTGTTTAAAAACTGGAAAACGTATCACAACAATTATATCATCAGTAAAAGTGCTGTTTGTGTGTGAAAAATGCAAAAAAAGTAACTTTCACTGACAATATCATTGCTGTGATATGTTTTACTGTTTTGAATCACTAATATTTGTGTTCAGCGAAGTCTCCCGAGTAAAACAGTACCCCCCATGTACAGGTTTTAGGGTGTCGTAGAACGTTACAGGGTAAAATACAGTGCTAGCAAATTAAATTCTCTGGAATTTCGGCCTGGGTTGGCAGGCAGGTCCCTCAAATTGCAATCAATAAAATTACTGAATTATGTAAAAATATTACATAAATACGCACGTAGAATTTAAATATATATGCATATTTATATATTTGAAGTCTACGTGTATATTTATATAATTATTTATGTAATTTTGTATATGGACATATGTATATTTTGTATTATTTTTATTTATTTATTTATATATACAAATTCATTCTAAGTGTATTTTGATATAAATATATATATATTAACCCCTTAAGGACGGAGGGCGTACTATTACGCCCTGCAGGAGCCGGCTCTAAACGCCGGCGGGTGTAATAGTACGCCCTCACTTTAATGGCCGCCCATGTGGCCGGCGCTATTCGCCCGCTGCAGATCGCGGTCGGGGGGGATGCCCGGCCCCCCAGGCAACCCCCCCTGTGGCCGGTGACCGCGATCTGCAGTCACTGATCGCAGTGACAGGCTGTCACTGCGATCAGTTTTTAACGTGTGTCAGCCGATTTCAAATCGGCTGACACACGTGGCCAGCGGCTTTCTGCAATGCAGATCGCGGTCGGGGGACTTACCTGGCCCCCCAGGCAGTCCCCCTGGGGTCAGTGACCGCGATCTGCTAAGTCTGAGATCGCAGTGACAGGCTGTCACTGCGATCTCAGAGCGCTCTGATCGCAGTGACAGCCTGTCACTGCGATCAGTGTTACATGTGTCAGCCTAATCTGCAGGAGGTGATCACAGTGACAGGCAGTCACTGTGATCACTGATCCTGTGTGTCAGCCAGTGATGTAAAATCACTGGCTGACACTGTCTCTGCCCCCTGTCCTGTAAAAAAAAAAAATATTAGTTAAAAAAAAAAAATTACAGTTACATATAAAATATACTTAGATCATATATATTATATATATGATCTAAGTATATATATATATATATATATATATACACACACACACACACACACACACTTACACATACACGAAGTGTATTTAAATATTAATATATATAATTATTTATATATATATACTATCAAATTACACGTAGACTAATACTGATTAAATATATATATATAATTATTGTTATATATATATATATTTACATATAATATAAAAAAATGTAAATACGTAAAAAAAAAAAAATTAAAAAAATAATTAAAAATAAATAATAAAAAAATATAGATGTTTGTTATTTCGTTCTAACTGTATTGTGATATTAATATATATATATATTTATATCAAAATACACGTAGAACGAAATAATATATATATCTATATACATAAATATATACATATATATCACTAAATATATACACCTATATATAAATACAAATATTTTAAAAAATTATATATATATATATATATATATATATATATGTATATATACACATATGTATATATATACACATATATTAATTCTACACATATATTTATGTAATATTTTTTACATAATTAGGTATCCTAATTAATTACAATTAGCGGGACCTGCCTGACAACCCATGCCGAAAGTATAGGGAATTTAATTTGCTAGCACTATATTTAACCCTATAACTTTCCAAGACACCATAAAACCTGTAAATTGGGGGTACTGTTTTACTCGGGAGACTTCGCTGAACACAAATATTAGTGTTTCAAAACAGTAAAATGTATTACAACAATGATATCGCCAGTAAAAGTGAAGTTTTTTTGCATTTTTCACGCACAAACAGCACTTACACGGATGATATTATTGCTGCAATACTTTTTACTGTTTTGAAACACAAATATTTGTGTTCAGCGAAGTCTCCCGAGTACAACAGTACCCCTCATGTACAGGTTTTATGGTGTTTTCAAAAGTTACAGCTTCAAATATAAGGCTTGTGTTTCTTTTTTCACATTAAAATTCGCCAGATTGGTTACGTTGCCTTCGTGACCCTATGGTAGCCCAAGAATGAAAATTACCCCTATGAGGGCATACCATTTGCAATAGTAGACAACCCAAGGTATTGCAAACAGGGTATGTCCAGTCTTTTTTAGTAGCCACTTAGTCACAAACACTGGCCAAAATTGGCGTTTTTTTGCATTTTTCACACAAACAGATACTAACGCTAACTTTGGCCAGTGTTTGTGACCAAATGGCTACTAAAAAAGACTGGACATACCCCATTTGCAATACCTTGGGTTGTCTACTATTGCAAATGGTATGCCATTATGGGTGTAAATTTCATTCCTGGGCTACTATACAGTCTCAAAGGCAACGTAACCAATCTGGCGAATTTCAATTTCAAATGTAACGTGCTATATTTGACCCTGTAACTTCCCAAAACGCCATAAAACCTGTACATAGGGGGTACTGTTTTACACGTGAGACTTTGCTGAATACAAATATGTGTATTTTATTGCAGTAAAAGCAAACAGTATTATGACATTGACCGTTAAAATGTCATGTAGAACTAAAAAAATAAAAAAAATCTTATTTTCTCCCATTTTTTTCATATTAAATTATGTTTCATAGCTAAATATTTGATATTAAATGAAAGCCCTGTTTCCCCTGAATAAAATGATATATAATAAGGGTGGGTGCATTTACTATGAAAGAGGTGTATTACGGTTGGACAGACATGTAGCGCAAATGCCAGGTTTTGTTTACATTTTGTTTCGTTCACAACGTGTACATTTGGCTCCGTCCTTAAGGGGTTAATTTTAAAATACAGTTAGAATAAAATTTCATATAGATATATATTTTTTTTAATTTTTATTATTATTTAAAAACATTTTTATTTAATTTAAATTACTTATTATTTATATTTTATAATAATATATATATACAATATAGTTATTATATATATTGAAGTGGAAAAATCAATTAAAGTATTGATTATTTCTTTGTGTATCTGCCCCTGGCCAAATCAATGAAACAATGCGTGCACGCTCCCTGAAGTAATTCACACCAGACACAGGTTCTAGGTTGTTGAATAACTTGAGGAAAGTTTATTCAGAGGGGACGGCAAGTCCCTTTTAAAGCAAAATTACATCATAAGCATTGTCAGAGATAACATGGAATAATACATCAATAATTGGTTAGGTGTTGAGTGGTTGCTTCAATGCTCTGCCTACTGTAGGTGATGTCACCGGGGCCATGAGAATCTCCCACGGTTTCCCGGCGCCATCTTGGTGCACGAGGTAGTTAGTCGATGTTAGGAGGGAGAAAGGAAGGGGGAGGGGGAAGGGGCTAGAAGCTTCCAGCAGCCATCTTGATTATAACGTGTGTGCTTAGCTATATATGTATATATCGTGAAATGAGTAAATAGACATTTTTCACTAATTAGGAAATATGTGTAGACCTTATTTCCACAACAGTCCCCCCTAAAATGGCTATTTACCATAACAACTGCTACTGTCCCTAATATGTCCCTAGCTGCCTGCAGCTCATCTGTCTTAACAAGCATCGAACACTTCACTCTGTGGGTAACCCGCGGTGGCTAGTCCACCACATCTCCACACGTGAGACTCGCCTGCCAAGACAGACACTTTCCCTATACTGTCCCTACAGGAAAGCAGTTGTTTGTTTGAACTGATGTGATT